CAAAAATCTAGGAATACCTACTTCACAAGCATAAGCCTTAATTTACACTGTCAAGTTTTTATATGAAAGATATTAGAATTAGTTAACAATTTCACTTCATTGGCAGTCACTTGTCCTTGTCTGAAAGATGCTCAGCTTTACTTTGTTCAGCCTATGAAAAAGGCTTCACCTTGAAAGAGACAAGTCAACTGCCATTCCAGATAATTAATTCAGTCCCCTACTTATCCACCCCACCTTCAATATCTTCAATGGAAGCGATCAGGATGGTAAAGAGCAAACAAACAAACCCAAGTAAGTCTAGAATCTCATTTATGCATCTCCTGAAGAGCACAAAAAAGAGAAAATATTATGAAAAAGATGCCCCTATTAACTTTACACTGAAAAACAAATCACTCTACAAACCCTAAGTAAAAGCCATAATCTCTGTTATACGTTGAACAAAACATTGAAAACCTAGTTCAAGTTTTTAAGAAAACTTTAGTTTTTCTAGTTTGCAGACTCTCTCAAAAGTATTGCACATAGATTTAAACTTCGAGGTAGCAGTTTGAAATTAAAGCAATGTGGCAAACAATGTTCAGAATCAGAGAATAATCTTAACTTTTCCCAATTTAAGATAAATTCCAAGAATATACAAGCAAGCTTGACCATCTTCAAACACAAACCAAAATCCTGGAAATGTACCTGCAGGTACTTGTGAAAAGCGAAGACACTTTAAAAACCAGAGGAGAAACTACTATTAATTCACTTAACTGTTATTTTCTTTAGCATAAATCATGTGCCATGTATAATCCAGCAGCCATCCTTAAAAGTCTTCTAAAATGTTTGTTCACAGCACTGTGCTTTAAGTCTAAACATTTAGGTTTCTAAAGTTATATATCAAGTCTGTTTAGAGTCTTGTATGCTTTTCAAATAAAGATGCCAACTATTTGTTCTCCTACTCAGTATGTTTGTCTGCTTCCCCTAAATACAGGCAGCAGTTTCTCTTTTCATTTTATTGCTGTTTTGAAAGTAACTTTTTTCACTCATCTGCAAATGATTCCCTTTCTTTTCACCAGCCTTGATGTTTATCAATAAAAAGCATATAATTTTTCAATTACTCTGGTGGGCAAGTAGATTTCCTGGTAAATAAGACAAGGCCCAGGGTAGGCAAACCTTTGCTCATGTGAATAGATATAAGGGTCAAGAGGGCACCTCCTTGCCTGAATAGCTCCTTTATCATTAAAGCTGATGTTTCACAACCAGGATGGAGCAATAAAGAGTAAAAGTAAGGAACTGGAGAAGAGGGAAGTGACTGAATGACCTTACATTTGATTCAGTCTTCCAAACTCCCTCCAACAGCAGGGTAGGTAAAGGTGTCATCACAGGATGCCTGCTTTGCTGCCCTTCCTAAAGAGTCCCAGGACTTGGGGACATTGAAACAAGTGGCAATGACAAGCCATAGAACTGTATGAACAGACAAAGCTGTTACACTACATTAAGATCCTACAATGATGATAAATATGATATAGTGATATTAATACCAACAATGTTAATTTCTGCACACATTCCAAAGAATTATGAGACTTTTCTCTTCCAAAATAATTGTACAAAGAGATGGGAGATTACACAGCCCCTTGAGTCAATACACAGTTGTGGCTGAGGGCCTTTGGAGGCTTAAATAATGTGAATAATGTGGCACCTCAGCCACATTTAAATCTAAGCAATCAGCTCTACCCAGAAGAACGTGGACAGGCAGAAATCAGCCTATACACTGCCCAGGGTGAGTCACCTTTAAAATCAGGGTCTATATAATGTTACTCTGAGAAGTGTTTAAGTACTTTACCTCTTACAGTTATGATAAATAGTATGGTATTCTCAAAATCAAAAGCAAATGGATTCTTCACACAGGAGACTCCTTGAAGTTGCTTTTAAGCAAGTTTATTTTTAGGCATTTCTCAGGATAGAGGGAATAGGCTTTATTTTTAGCATATCATATACAATACTCAGCTTGTAAATTTCTGCAAGTGTGTTAAACACATTTCAATAAACATTTATTGTGGTGTATTTCTACTGTAATATATTGTGAAATTTAAATTACAGAATATAAACTTTAGACAGTATTTGACCAAATACAGCCCACTTAATAATCAGTCAAACTGTTCGTACAGAGATGCTGATCTGTGAGCTGAGAATCTGTGCTGATAACCTAATTGTCTTTTTAAGCGCTCAAGATAAATGCTACAGATCTGGCTTTGTAGTCATGACACAGTTTCCATTGCACTTTCAGCTAGTATTAGGCTCATTAACACATGAGCTAACCTGGGTGGGGAACAAGGGCAGCAGAGGGACCGGTCTCTGAATAAGTCAGTCCTTGTCACCTTTCAGGCTGCTTCTGGAAATAAAATTGGTATTGTTAGTTCAACTTGAACATTTCTTGGCATCCCTTCATTTTACCAACACACATTTAAAATTCTGCAGTTGGTGATATTTGCTGAAGAACTTTATCCAGTATGTTTTAAATTGAGGTCTTAAATAGAACATCAGAGAAGTAACACCAAAGCTCAGCATGGCTCTGTAAAGTCACATGAGTATCAGTGGGGACCAAAAACAGAATGGAAGAAAAGGCTTCAAGATGAAATCACCCATTGAAAAAAGAGACAACAGCAGAAAAATGAGTTAAACCACGCAAAATCCCAAGAACAAGTTTAGGGAGTCCCTCTTCCCCAGAGGAAGAGGCTCAGAGGAACAAGATAGAAGTTGGGATGAGGATGGGTGCAGAGGTGTTAAAAGCCCATTTTTCAAATCAACTACTTCTGGTTGAGAACAGAGGTTTAATAGGAGAAAAGGATGATCAGGATTTGTGAAAGAGATGCTTAAAAGATTCAGCAGAACCCAACAGAAGAAGCATTAAGCGGCTGAGAAAGGACAACTACAAAGACTATTTCCGACATACTTTACAGCTTACTCAGGACAGAATCCTGATGTCTTTACATGATTCCCCCCACCATCAGTTAACCTCAGCTAGGTTAGATTTCACCCTGCCATTGTCCTCTGTCAGATATGACACACTCCCCTCTTTCCCATCACTTCTTACATAGAAGTTGAATATAAACAGGCACAAAACTACAAGTCTAAAGACAGCAGGCAGTAAGGTTTGCAGTTACCAATAAGAGTGAAACAAAGGCATTTACATTTGAGCTAACCTGAGCTTAGGATGACAACAGAATATCTATGTGGGATCATCAGCCTAGCAAGACTAGACATGAAAAGTAGGACAGGATTGGAAGAAATGTCGAGGGAAACCTCAAACCACATATACTATCAGCAGGGGCTAATGCATTGAAGAGGAAAGGCCCTCCACATTTTTTCATTATCATCTTGTATTTTAAGAAAAAATAAAAACCCAAAGTCAAAAAAAACCCCAACTTTCTGCCACTTCACGATTCATATGCATCACAGGAAAAAACAACCAAGCATAAAACCCCGTAATGATTCCCTCATACCAACATAATTTTCATAATAAATTAAGGAAGAATGTAGATTCTACATTATGTCTGCAGCAAGTTAAGTGTGCCAGGCACATCCCAATCCAAACAATGTTTATTTCCCTTGAGGTCATTAAAACAGGTTTGGGATATTATCTAGAGTAAGATGTCATTAAAACTCCAGAACAGCAAAAACATATGCCAAACACATAGCATGTCTTTCATTTTCCAACATCTCTTTATAGGTTCATGCCTCTATCCACCTGTTCCACTAAATACCACAGGCACTTAACAAGGCACTAAGATGGGAACAGTAAGGACACTGCTACTGGAAAGCTCTGCTATCTGAAGCAGACAGAAGGAAGCCACCAACCGAAGAAAGGGAACTTTAACCACAAACTTTTAGGATAAAGAATATACTCTCACAAGCTTGCACAGTATCGATTACACCAAGAAAAATAATGAGCCACTTTGCCACATTCTTCTGTATTTAAGCATTTTAACACACTTTTAGTGAATTTGAAATTTATTTTTTTTTTAACTCAAACATAATGAACAGAAAATCTTCTTGGTATAAACATTTCTGAAATAAAAGTCCCAAATGGCTCACTCTCACCACAGGAGCCCCATATATCTGGGCAGTCTGTGTTTCATAGTTCACTACTGCTTACCACAACATTTTAACGGATTCCACATCCAGAAGAAGGCACTAAGTTTATATTGCTCTCGGATTTAATACACGAATTAAGACTTAGCTTAGAAGAGCAATCTGCCAGATAAGCGAGATAGGACGATTATCAGCTCCTTATGTCTTGGAAAAAAGTCCGTCTCCTAGAGTACAACAGAGCAAGAGTTGCGAGCATCCCTCCGTGAGAGCCGTGCACTATTTCCCCCAGTTACCCCGACTGACCTGCGGGACCCTCAGGCATCTCTCCAGCATTTAGTAAGGGAAGAAATAAAAAAAGAGAAAGGGAAGAAAATCAGAGGATTGAGAGGATGGAGACACTTGGCTTCACTTTCCCTTCCTCTTAACAGAACATCCATTGCGGCAGAAGGAACCACCCTGGGTGCTGAAACAAGAGCCGCATTCACGGGCGCTGGGTTAAGCAGCGGGCGGGAGCACACTCCGGGCGGCACCTCTGGGCCGCCCGGCTGAAAATCAACTTCTTTAGGACTCAGAGGGAAAGAGAAGGCAATGCGGACCTATTTAAAGGCTCCGTCGTTAACCAGTTAGGAAAGATTAAGAGGTTTCCCTACGCTCCCGCTCAAGCACCGTGCTTTGAGAAGGCACAGACACGGTCGGGCTGTGCCGTGTCTCGGCTGGTTCCTCAGCCCGCCCAGCCGCCCACGGGTGCGGGGTTTTCCGCTCCAGGGCGCCCGGCAGCACCTGTTGCCGCTGCTGCCGCCGCCGGCACCCCCCGGCCCCAGCCCCAGTCCCCACCCCGGCGACGCTCGCTGTACCTGCAGGATCCTGTCCAGACCCTCTTGGCCCAGGCAAGGGAACTGCTTGAGCAGCTCCGTCTTCTGCCGCTTATAGTTGTCGGTAGCCGAGCGCCAGTGGGGCTCCTCCAGCACCTCGAAGATCGCCGCCCCAATGGACAGGTAGAAGATGATGGCCGAGGTCAGCAAGGGGCCCCTGTCCACCATGGTGCTGGCAGCAGGCAAGGAGGGCGGGCGGAGCGCGGCGGGTGGGCGAGCCGGAGCGGGTGTCCCGCGCTGCGGCCGTGGGTGCCCAAAGCCGCCCTGTCCTTCCCCTGACACCTCTGCCTACCCTGGCCGTCCGCCGTGCCTCCTCGCCCAGTTTCTGCCGCGTTCCCTTACAGTCTTCCACACTCCCCTCCCACTCTCTCCTCCTCCCTCCTCCGCGCCGCTCCACTCCCCGCGGGCTGTCTCCTTCCCCTAGTGCTCTCCCCTCCCTCCAGAGCAGCGATTTGAATCTGGTGCTCTCCCGCTTCCTCTCTTACCGCCCCCCGCCCGCGCATGCGGCGCTGCTGCCGGGGCGCACCAGGACGCGGCCCGCGGCCCGGCCAGGGGTGGGCGGTCTCCGCGGCCCGGGAGGGCGGCGTAGTGGTCCGGCCATCGCCAGCCCCCGAGGGGCCGCCTGGGGGAAGGGAAGCGAAGCCGCCACCTCCGTTCTTCCCACCCTGCCTGCGGGGAGCCGGTGTGGGGCCGAGAGGGCAGCCCGGCCCTGGCCTCTTCCCCCTGAGTGCGGTTGGTCCCTGCGCCCGCAGCCGTCCGTGCATTCCTCTCTGTGTTTTCCCCAGAGTCAGGATAAGAAGGGGTAACGTTGCTCAGTTTTATTTTACTTGTCCTGTCGTGCCGTCAGGTTCACCGGAATTCCTCGTTTTCGACGCCGGGAGGCTGTGAAACGAGGTCTGTGGCTTTCCTGGATGCATGGAAGCGTGGGGGGAAGCTGAGCGGGAGCTTTGAGGAGAAAATATGTCCGTCTGTAGATTTCACCCCTTCCCTGAGATATCTGTAATGCTTCACACGTGGGCATTACAGATGTCCATTTCTTTCCTGCCTTTGGTACCCTCAATAAATATCGCTATGTCCCTGTCTGTGTATTTAGGAGGGAGGGGGAAACACTGGATAGTGATTTTCCATAAGATGCTCAAAACATCTTCCAGGTTGAAGCTCCCTTGAAGCTTACCCTGTTTGTGAAGCCTTCCCCAGGAGCCGCTTGCAGCCACGCACAAGCCCTTGCCCCTCCGTGTTCGAATGGGGCTGGAAATGGGGTTAAATGGGTCAGGGAGACATACAGTGATGACGTGTTATGCACACTGGCAAAGTGCTTCTGGTGTGGACAGGGTTCATCTTACAAACATTATTTTTGTAAGGGTAACTTGTTTTCTTTCTCCTTCAGCCCCCACAACAGGAAGTAAACACTCAAAAAGTGGAGTAGTTCATATCAATTGCATCAACACTAAGAGATTTGGGGTGTATGTTACTCAGTTGGAGTACACAGACTAAAAGCCTGAGATACGCCCGTGCAGACGTAGTTGAAATGGGAAGAGGGGGAATGGAGGAGAATAGGAAAGACAAAGGAGAGAGCTAGAAAATATGCAAGAGAGTATGAGAAAACAAAAAGGAGAGCACATATACGGCAGAGGAACATGCATTGGTTAGAAGATATACGGAGATACGTATATAAAACTGAATCAGGCCCAATGGATGCTCCTGTGATATTGCCCCCAGGAAATCACATGGTCCTTACGTAGTCCTTCCTACTAGTGTATATGGTACTCAATAAAAATACATCTGCAAGAGGTTCCTAGCACCCTAAAAGCAGGATGGGGAAACCACAAAATCCACAAGTACATTAAGTGATCAATCTTTGCATGGGATTTTCCAGTTATTTGAAGGAAGCATTAAAAAGAAAAAAGGATTTTCAAACTGCAGTAGTTTAAAAAGATAATTTATATATACTGGAGGAAATAGCAAGAAAAAAGCATCATAATAAACATTTTTTAAAGTGTAACAAACTATGCTAATTTTTTTATTAAGGGAAAAATGGGGGATGCTGCATGAAGTTGAAAGGCTGTAATTTCTTTTTAATTAAAAGGAAAATAAGAATTTAATGATGCACAATTACCTCATGAAAATTATTCCCAGATGTTATCACTTGGCCCAAGACCTTTGTGAAACTTGAAAAGCCATTGGCACAAATTAATAATGTGAGTATCTGTCATTGTCTCACTTGCTGATTTAAATGTAAAGTTTAAAATAGTATGTAAGTACTTCTGGCAAGTGACTGAAAGAATTGAAGAACTTTCAGTAGGCAAATTATGATACAATTTTCCTTTTGGTGCTCTTGCACCTTCTTCTGAGTCACCTGCAAGTGGTTAGGTTATTCTGACAGCAACAGCAGTAGCCTGACACATTACAGCAATGCTGCACTTATGTGTTCCTGACCCTGAACATCTGTGCTTCATAACTGGAAGGTATTTGATTAAATTTTGAAACTGTACTCTTCCCCATATGTCTAAGTCTCTAAATGCCCATTTATTCATTGAAACAGTATCTTAAAGGCACAAGGAATGACACAAATGACCCTGAACCCACTGCAGTTACAGAGCACAGATAAGAGCAAAACCACGTTTAGGCATTTTGCAGAAAATTTGTGATTTTGATTCAACAATTCTACTTTCCAGTCTAAACTGCCAATCACTGATTGCATAATTAGTACTCTCAGTAACTGAGTCAGTCCGTATTTAAAAACAAACAAGCCTGTAAGTCACATACCATTTTTCCCTGTGTTGAAATGCTATTGCACTTGTTAGACTGTCTCCTTGTGTTTCTCTGGGTTTAAAAGAGGTGAGCCTGGTAAGGAGCAACATCCAGAAGAATAGTTTATTCCCCAAGGAACCATAACCAGCTACTCCTGCAAGTAGAGGTGATTCGCTGAGTATCAACAAACTTCATGCACTTAGATATTTCACTTTGATTCCATTGTCTTTTGCAGAACAAATTACAAGGTATACTTTCACATTGCTGGCCAAGTAGTGTGGCAAGAAGGAATGTTTTGTGTAGCTGGCCTCTCTTTGCACCTCCTGATCTAAAATGCTTCTCCTGACCTCAGAAAATATATTATATCCTTTTATTCATGGCCCTTTTCTCTTCTTTGTTTCCCTTGGATTAAACAGTACCCCTATTGTCAACCCACAGCACCTGCCACATAGGCCCCACAGCTTTTCATGCTAGCTAAGTTAATAAAAAGGCTGAGGTTATTCACTCACAGGCTTTTAAACCTCATTTAAAAATCAAGGGAGAAACAGCAGAAAGCACTTTGGTGAGTAATACCACAAGTATCAATCATTTGTATTATTTGCATAGGACATTATGTCAGGCTGTCCAGTCCAAAAGAAAATCTCTTTCATCCAAGCTGCATGTCTAAGACACATTTGCTGTACAGATGTTTCCTAAGAAAGCCTGGAATTAATGGATAAATGTCAGAAAATGTTTGAGATAGAGCAAGTAAGAGACATTATTTGGGCAAATGAAACCTGTCATGTAGTGGCAAAGACTGCATGTTATACTGGGTATGAACTATGGGTCTCTCTTCAAGCCTCTGCCATTTTTCACTTAGAAGCCTATTTTTGGCTTGTTGATGACTGCTCTCAATGCCTGTCAACTCTGCATCTTTCATTTATTCTTTAACTGTTGAAATTTACACACCTCCAGCGCTGCCTTGAAGTGTTATGCATCCAGCCACAGATGGTTTAACTACGTTGAGGGTGCCCTGTCGTGACTATCATGAGCAGTTTTGCCTCTTTGATGCAGTCCAATGCACACAGAAAGGGTAAGGGTGGTCTGCAGATGATGCAGAATTTTATATGAGGCATTTGTGGAAAGTTCAAAAATTCTCCACAGGATTGTTCATACCTTTTGGCTTAAGTATTTACAAAAGCACATTTTATGCTCAGAATGTATAGTAACACATAGTAAATCATAATAAAAATAATAAAAACCTTTACCAAAACAACCTGCATGCCACTGCAACAGACTTCTTTACCCCTGGACAGATAATGAGTGAAGAAACACCACATGACAGATGTTAGTCATGCTGCTTAATGAATAACTGGTGATGAGTACAATACCTGTGTGGAATGGCTGTAATATGTTCAAGGAAAAATATGCATTTGGATCACCTGTTTTTCACTGAGGTACCTGCAGTGCTCTAGAGAAATGTCTTCATCAGGAAGAAGCCTAAGTATTTCAACAGTTTTTCTGCATCTGTTTCCTTGACTGCCTTGTTCCTCAGCCATCCATAGCAGTCACTGGATGATTAAACATTTTTCCTTCAAAATATTTTTTAAATAAATACCCTGGCCTTCTCTTTCTGTTCCACCATTACCTAACTGGTAGTACCAGAAGCTTTATAGCAGTCCTTCATGCTGACATTCATGTCAGTGATCTAAGAACTTCAGAATACAGCTCTGCAAAAGAAGACTGACTTGTACAATGTCAGTCCTGGAGTGGCTTTTACCACCATGATACCCAGAGGACATTACTCTTCTAGATAATATGCTCAAGGATAGCTGAGCACCATGGTAACAGAGTCAGTGAATATGCAACAATCTGTTATTTTGTTAGATAAAACATCACTGTCAAGTCTTATTTTTGGGTCATTAAGAAGGAATTAAATTTTATTTGTGTATAGTAATATGGATGAATGTTTGTCTGTTGTCCTGAGACTTGTTTCCCAAACCAGCTTAATTTAACTTTTATCAATCTGCTGTCATGCAGTGCATGCCTTCCCTAGTGTTACTGCCTGAATGTGGCAGTGCTGGATTACAGGGGGGGATTCAAGGAGCAGTTAGCCTTCCCCATCTCTCACTTGGGCTGCACAGCTGTGTGTCTTGTGTGCCAGGTTGTGCAATGAAGGGCCTTGTATGTGACTGAGCAGCTCCCAAATTCAAACTGGGCTCCCTTCCATGCATGGTGTGTAGCACTCACGTTTTGTTAGTCAACATGCCAGAAGAGCTGTTCCTATCTAACTCTTCCCTTTATTGAAAAAAAGTCTTCACATTAATTTTGGCAGCAGGAAAGCAGAGAGAAGGTTGATGGCTTTTTTTTCCCTCTTGGGTGAATAAAAAGCCTCATGGATAACAAATGAAGACAGCTATACACCAAAAAAAACATTGAAAAGAATCATATTTTTATCATCTGTTCTCCAGTTCCAAACCCTGTAGCAACGGCTTGTGAGGTTAGATTGGGTCTTGTCTAGTGAAAGAAAAGATTGAGTAAGTAAGTGAAAAAGTTGGCTACATGCAGTTAAAGGAGTATGGATTTTTAAGATTTTTGTTTTCTATGGACACGAGTCACTTTTGTGCTTGGTGTCCTGGAATGAAAGAAGGATCATCGACCATACAGTCTCTACACATGTGCCTCTGCCTTATGTTTAAAGGGGCTTTGGAATAAGACAAAAGTTCCTGGCATAGTCAATCTCCACAGCCCCTTAGCCTGTCACGTGGTTCTTTGTGATCCCTCCTCCATTACATGTGGTATTGGGAAAGAAGGCAGCAAAGGCTGAGCACTAAGTCCCACAGCTGTCCTGTAAGTGAAGGGCTTGCAAAGCTGTTAGTGGCTTTTAATTTAAGCTTTGTACCCTCCTAGACCATCATCAGGAGAGGTGTTAAGAGAGTTTGGAGGAACTTGGATTTCAGTGTTAATGCCTTCCAGTGGTGCCTCCCATATGCCAAAAATTCAGTGTAAAAGTAGCAAGTAAATCCAGGTGACTCACAGATATGTCTCTTGGGAGGTAGCTTGGCACAAAAGTGATTGGGTTAGAGTATCAGAAAAAGTCCACCTGGTCTGCTGCTTTTGTCGACAGCAGGACTGTTGTCATTGCTCTAAGCATAGAAGTTCCCTGCAAGTCCTAACTTCCAGGTTTCAAGGTGAACACCATGCTCTTGGCTCTCAGTGACTTTGTAGGGATGTGTGTATGCATGGTCACAGTCAATTGCCAGATAACCCATGACTGAGGTGGAAAAACAAGTTGGATGCTGGGTGTTTTCCTCCTGTTGTGTAGCACCTCAGCAGTGCTCTGTTCATCATTCTGTCTCACAACTGGAACACAGTCCAGGGAAACTGAAGAAGCAGTGAGTGAATGGAAGCAGACTCAAATTGCCCATGTTGCTGCTCTCGTTTGGGAGCTCATAGGGAAGTCCTGGTAACTCGGGTCAGACTCACAATGGTTCCAACAATGAGATTTGAGAGAGGCCTGGAGATAAGCAGAGGTGAGGGAAGGCACACAGTGTAAGGATAGTCAACTCCTAACTATACCTGTGCATCTGCAAAAATCCCTTAAGCAGTTGGGAGAGAGAGAGAGAATATGGGGAAGGGAACACTGACCCCATCAAAACAAAGGGCTGTGGTGCTCTTTAAGGGCATCCAAACAGAGGTGAACATCCCAAACGTTTTTATTCATTTAAGAGGACCATCTGAGGCTGAACATCCCCAGGGAATACTGCATTGCCAACATGGGTTATAGAAACTAATGGTGAGCAGCCTGTTAGAGGTTTCACAACTCATTTCCTTTGAATATTAGTTATTTCTTTTGCCAAAGAGAGGCAAAAAGGGGGAGGAGAAGGAGGAAATAAAAACTAAATGGGCTAGTTCATTTATTTTATAAGATCAAATCAATAAGCAGATGGGTGAATTCTGCAGATGGCATTGCTTCAGTCAAGACAGAAAATTCAGTGCTTCCCTGCATGTGTTTTTTTGCAAGATTTCTTTGAACAAGGAAGTGTATGCAAATAAAGAGACCAATTTGCACATGCTCATTCAGCTCAGCAGCCATGAACTCTCCCTGACTCTGGGTACTTTTAACAATAAAGACTCCAGGCTGGGGAGCCTGCTTCATATTCTACCCTTGCTTCAGTACTCCCTACTCTCACCCCCAATCTTTTGCAATTAAATGGCAATCGGAGTTAATAAAGGTGAGTCTGTGATCCTATAAAGCACTTTGCATCATCAACTTTTGTGATGAAATTTTCACAGGGGAAGGAGGTGCAGCAGCATTTTGTCCAAGTAAAGGTTGCCCCGGCAATATATCAAGAAGCCTGAAGCCCTTAATTTTCCTAAGAGAGATTTGATTACTGCACCCCATATCTGAGTGCAGAAATTTGTCCTGCAGAAACTACGCTCCCCCACCCCTTCACTCCCCCTTTTCCAAGATAAGTCTTAAAGTATTCTGGAGCTTACGTTCTTGCATTACTGCCCCTGTGTCACATACACATGGACAAGCTTGGGCTGGCTTGCTGAAATTATTATACTAGGTCTACAACAGATCACAGATCTGCCTCTGCCCTACCAAAAACATTATTTTTCCATAGCTGGGTTGAAGAAACTGCTGCTTTTACTAGAGAGAAGTGGCCAGTTGACATTTACTGTGTTGGATGTTATTTCAATGTGTTTATTATAAACAAATGACAATGCAACTTCCATTCTGACTAAAGGAACTTATAATCAACACAGAGCTGTTAAAACTTGACAAATAAGTAATGTCTAAGCCAGATAAATAAATGAGTTGTTGGAGAAGTCTTTCTTCTGCTGTACTGCCTAGTGCAAATACAGCAGCCTTGCTTAATAAAGGAGGCCTCGTTTAATTCTGGGCTTGTCTCAACATTAGTCTTTTACAAGCACTTTGGACAAGATCATTAATCCTGCATGTATCAACTGAAGACATGCCTCCCAAATTTCCTTAGAATGTTGAGAAAAGACCTAGTTACACAATTATACCTTAACTAACACATATCTATTCTCAGCAGTGGGAAGTGAGGTTTTTTTGCAGCTATCAGAGTGTACAAATACCTTGTATGACATTTAGAGAGATTAAATTCCTTTGCCCCACTCTATACCTGGACTGCTTATAGGGCATACTGCTTGGAAAACATGGGAAGATTACAATTTGAATATCTATTATCATGATAATGTTGTGGAAATCTGACAGCTGTTAGCAGAGCAGTGTGGTAAGGACATTGCTGGGGTTCATAGGTGAAGAAGAGAGGGGATTTTGATATCTGTGATTAGTAACGAACAGTAGGAGAAGCTGCTGTGTTGCCTCACTGGCAAGACACAGTGAGGAGGCTGCTACTGCCATAAGCTGGACACTGGAAGAAAGGGTGGGATGCAGCCTACAGGAAGTGTTGTGTGGGCTGGCTGCCATGGGAGGCCTTTGCTGGCCATATTGTAGGCAACAAGGCCACACTGATACTCCAGCAACACATACTCCAGCTATCATTTTTATTTTCCAGAAAAAAGTTGGCTTTCCTGTCTGGGGTGACTAAATGAAAGTGTTTTTTCTCCATTTAACCTTGATGCAAACTCATTTGTTTTTCAACAGAGATCGCAAGTTTAAAGATGCAATTCAAATCTGAACTTTTCCTTATGGTCCTGACTGTGTGGAGAATTCCTCTGATTCTGGCAGTTTTCCATGTTAGAAATATAAGATAGTTTACATTGATTGTGGTTTAGACATAAAGCTTGAATTTGTTCCTATGTGGATAGAAGGATTGAATATTGTCAAACAGTGGTGCAGAGAGAGAAAGGAAAAAGTAAAAAGACCTTGAATAATATAAAATATGGGATCTAGCACTGCTAAAAATAATCTTGTGGTATTTTCATATGTGACTTTTGCAGTTCAGCATAGGCTTTTTGGACAATTGAGTACCCACTTCAGGACCAGGGAGCAGGGGTTGGGAAGAGCTCACAGCAGCACCTTGACAGCTTGCCAATGCACATACAAGCACTACGCACCTTTCTGTTAGTCCCTGCAGTGAATTATGTTTTCACTTGTACCTTGCAGAGTGAATAGCAAATAACTTTAGACTATAACACTGTCCAATCTGTTCCCCCATACGCACTCATTTTCCAAAGAATACACTGTACTGTGCAGTAATGAATGTGTTCAAATAACAATGGAAAGAATGATTCTGATATTCTCCTGAACTAATTTCAAAGCTGCATATCCAGTTCTCTGCCTTTTTTGGTCAGTCTCCTTACACCATTTATGCCTGCTTTTAAACAGACTGGGTAGAAGAAGAGATTCCAGCACACCTGATCAGACTTTTATACTCAACTCCACAGAAAGGCAGATATTACACAGCCATAGCTCCCAGTACATTTTTATTTCTTAAAACTATGCAAATTATGTGTTGGTAAGGTAGATAAAACTGATTGTAGGAGGTTACACATGAACTGGAATGTACGTCACAAAAAGTCGTTTCTTTCCGTAACACTAAGTATTGTCTCACATATGAGAGACAATGTATCAGAACTCAAAAATCCTCTTTTAGGCACCTGTAGAAAACCATTGAAACCAACATGGGCCACCTGTGACATGCAAAGCCCTCAGCTGAAACAGTCACATTCACAAAGATGAGCTATGAAGTCCTCTATGAAGTCCTCCAAACTAGAAAGATTTATTGTTCTTCTGGGGCCAGTTTTATGCACATAACTTATTCCCATTTAGCTCTGATCTTATACCAGGGTTCTTCTCATGGTATCTTCTCTGTGGCTAGTCCTGCAGCCAGCTTGTTTCCTAGCTGAATAAGCTGCTTCTGCTGTACCTGGGCCAATAGGGAAGACAGTGGAATCAGACACATATATAGGATAACAATAGTAATACTGTTACTATAATAACAGTATAGAATTACTATAATAGGAATATTCTTTATTCCTTGTACTGACTTTCTCCCTGAAGGACTGTGCACAGCACAATACTAAGTGCATTTCAACCCTGTGTACAGAGCCAGCACATGGTTTCTACAACACCTGACTTCTACTTAATGTAAGGTTGGCTCTAAGTGGGAAATAACTCTTGTTACATTTCTGTGCATAGGCAAATTTTGATTAAAGACAATGAAAGATTATTTGGGAAGAGTGAGAGTATTTTTTTCTTCTTCTCATTCTGGAAAGGACCACCGAAGCCCTTCTGCCTACTGAACTATAAAGATAAAGAACAAAGGCTGCAACTAATATGGGGGAAAGGGAAAGGTTTTGGACCACCAACTGTCCTGTTTGAGTGGTCCATCTCCATATGTTCATGCTTGGACAGTGCAGTTTCTATTGAGAAATAGTCCTGTTTGAGCATCCACCTCGTACAGTGATAGTTAACAGAGCATTGTGTCATAGATGGTGTCTGGCACAGGGCATTGCTCTGCTATGAAAGCTGAGCACAGGGGCTGCAAGGACATGGGTGAAGGCTCCCAAGTGCACTTGCTGAACAAAGTACATTGCTTAAAAAATAGTGTCTTGTAATAAGACAAGTAAAAAGCAACAAGCCTCTGACTGGAAAACAGACAGCCCAATTAGACAGACATTCTATTTAAGTAGGAGATGGATAGAAGCCCTCCATACCTCTAAAATCCTCCAGCTCTTGCAGACAGACAGGTCTCCTTTGAACCATTTTCCCAGATATATTTCAGCCACAATACAAAACAAGTCTGACTCAATCCTTTGCAGACCTCTGAACTGTCAAGAGCCTGGAACAGCGAGACTCTGGAACGATTGCATCACGTGAGGGAGGAGGTCAGAGGGAATCATCGCTTGAGAATGCATGCCCACATCTCAGCTCCTAATCCTGGTCTGACACTGGGCATGTCAGATCATGCACGGAGGAGATGCACAGGGCATGCCACTGCTGGCAGGTGCGTGTTGTCTAACAAAGTTGTTTTGAATGCTGGCCCCTGCAGGTTCTCCTCCACCTGCTCCAGCCCCGGGCTGAAGAGCATCCTCTCCACAGCCGCAATGCTGGCAACGGCTCCTACCTTGGGGATTGCTACTGGCAGGGATGGGCACAGGAGAATGGCGCTACTTTAGGGATGGATGCGGGAGGATGGTGCTACTGCAGGGTTGGGCACAGGAGGATGCTACTGGAAGTGGAAGAGTGGCAGGAGAGGGACTCTCACTCAAACTGCCTTAGGCTCAGCAGGACTTCTCTTGGCATTACCAAAGGATTATGCCATTGTCTTTATAACTGCAGAAATACTGACTAAGGCTGACATTTCCATTTAGAAACAGAGAAATTTCATCCAGTGAATATGTATTTCTTGGATGTTATTTGGCTTGCCAAATGGTTGTGACCTTTCAGCCCTCAGTTTCTTCCTACCAGATCAGCCCAAGGCCTGAAAATGCTGTGTCTTGTATCTTATTGCTGAAAGACTGGTTTGTGTATGCTTGATTATAGAGGTTCTGTTAGGAGAATCTGTTACATAGAGTTTACTAAGCTCCTTGTAGCTTCCTCACACAGCAAATAAGTCCTTTCCCCTAGAAAAACATTGAAATTATCAAGGGATTGGCATATGTTAAGGAACTAAAAAAAAATCATTATAACAAGAAGGTCAGAGAATATGCAAGTTCTTTGGGTTGCTGTGTTTTGCAGACAAAGTTCTAAAAAGCACTTCTGTTCAAGGACAGAAACTGTGGCTCTCTGTACCCTCAGAAGGGTGTCAGCAATTGCAGAAGTATAGAAGAGGAGAAGAAGTCTCATGGCACCAGCTGAAGGAAGGAGGAGCAGTGGCATGAACAGTGCTCTTTTCTTCGTTTCAACCAGCAAAGAAAAGAGGAACCACCAACTCTGTCACTAAACCACCAGGTCTCTTTTCTGTGCTAGTAGTGTGCTTCTCCCAGCCCCTGCTTCAATTTAAAATTATCTGTCAGAGAAGTAAATACAAATGCCCCAGGTGAGAACTAATTTGTATCGCAGAAAATGAATAGAACCGATGGAGTCAGGAAAAAAAAAAATTTAAAATGGGCTGAGTTTCATTGCACTCACTTCTATTTGAACTTGCTTAAGTTCAGATACATTCAGAACTGGAGTTTTGGAGCAGACTCAGCTCTGTTGTCAACTCAGTTATAGTCTGATTATTTGTCACAAAATAGTGTGCACAAGATACCACTCTAGCTGAAAATGTAGAAAAATTAACTCTGAGTGCAGTGGTTGTAATATTTTTTGTTTAAAATGCTTTAAATAATATGCTTAAGAAAGCTGAAGACAAGTATGTTTGAAGATATGCTGCTTAAAATACTCAACTTTAACTTTGTACAGATAACCACACCATAAACTCAAGCACTCTTAGATTCAAACTAGCTGGATTCATCAGGAACTCTTTAGCTGTGGACAGAATATATTTCAGGAAGATGGAAGTAGTACAAAGTAATCATGTTATGAAAAGGCTTTTGCCTTGTTCTGAGGTGTAAAGCAGATTTGGCTGAAAAATGCACTATCAGAAGCTCTTTGAATTAATGTAATAATAGAATATGGTGCTTTTATTTCTTTTAACTAATAGTCTCCAAATATTTTTTAAGTATTATTTAGCACTAGCTACAGGTCTCAGTTGTGGGAATGTGTTTACACAGGCAGCTGTGATATGATCATGTGATTTACCCTGATTCACAAAATTTAAAACCAACAAAAAACCAAGAGTAAATAAAAGGATGCAGGGACAAGGAAGCAAGAAAGGGGCCAGGGAATCAATCCAGATTGGAATGGAAGTTTTGCCTCCTATTCTTGCTGGGCAATATTCTTTGTCACAATTATCCTCATTAATTTATCTGACCCACAGGATGTCAAGTTACACACTGTTGTGATTCTATGTAATGTTATTTTTGACATTTTTTTATTTACTTCCTTTTTGACCACTTACCAGGTTTCCTCAGAGAGGGATAATAAAGTCTACCTTCAGAGAAGCCCAAACTGTATTATTGTACACCCCAAACAGTTTCTAAAGCCAGCTGCTCCTCAAACATTAGAATGGGCTGTATCTGTCAGGCCATTGCTTTTAATTTTCCCAAACATTGGATTTTACGCAGTGCTTTATGTGCATGTAATTGCAATTACACAATTGAAATACACTTAAAAAGAGATAGCTTTATAATATGTCTTTGTGTTGTTACTCAAACGAGGTTGCTTCAGTTTCTGGCTTGTCACAAGAACCAGTCATATAGGAAATATACAGGCCTTTTCACATGAGAGAAAATTAATACTAGGAACTTTGTAACTAAGAAGATGTTGGGAGATGTGCATCCATTAAAGTTTCTGACTAACAAACCAGGGAAATGATGGCAGATCACTGGTTACTATGAGAAAGATGCTCTGCAGTTTCCCCACCCGGTAAAGGCTGGGTCTAAATGTTTTTTGTCAGTTGCTAGAGAGCCTGGAACTTGACATAACCAGCGCTGATGTCAGGACTTCAGGACTAATACTGAGCTAAGATCTTGTCAGCATTTATAGTTAACCTTTTTATTACAGATAGATGGCACAAAGCAAACTTTAGTCAATATTTACCTCTACTGTTAAAAGCAAGGAGAAGGGAAAAGAACAGTTCTTCAGGAAGGCTTGATAGCCAAAGAACACTGTCCTTGTAAATCTGATAAATAACAGACAGTCCAAATTTTTGTAAGAGCTCCAAGGTTTCCTGTAGGATTCCTTTAGATAAGAATTTGAAGGGTGCTGGTTACTTCCAAAGGGACGTTCCTCTCTCAAGGTCCAGCATATGGGGAGAAACAACTTTAAAAGAGAAAGAAGGAACATATGGGGAGAAGCAGCTTTAGAAAAACCCTGAAAACCCAATAAACCACCTAGTACTTCTTGCCACAGAGATGGACTGTCTACATTCTTAGAAAAAGCCACAGTCAGTGGATATGTAAAGCAAGAGGAACAATTAGATAAGACAGTGGTGAGCAGAAACACAAAATACAGTGAAACTGAAAACTAAACAAACCCTGCCATATGTAACCTCCTGAGTCAGGGTCATTCCCTAAACACAGTACTGTCTGAAAGTAATACATGTGGTATTTAAGTACCTAAATACAGTCTTAGTGCATACCTGCAATTTTCCAGATCCGCATAAAATCCTTTTATGAACAATATGTTCCTTCAATAAGGAAGAGATTGCAATCCTGAACCTGCAGTCAGAGGTGCTTTTCTTAAAGAAGGTTCCTGGAACCATCTTGGCTCAGGTTCAAAGGCTGCACAAATGTTTAAGCTCAAACCAATCAAATTAAGTATATTCTTGACAGATTATGTTCTCTCTTTCATAGGTCTCCCCTGAGGGATATTAGTCATAAACTCAGCAGAACGCCTACACTGCATCCACACAATTTGAGGTAGATGTTAAAATAATCCCCCACCTGAGCACATAAGTCTGGTAACTGTTCAACCAGTTATGCAACTTGCATGTGTAAATGAATTTAGCATTCACAGATGGATTCCTATGTGTATTATGGATAGTTAAGAGTGGAATCTGAAAATTTTCTATAGTATTTATTTCCCCTAATGGGATTTTATCACATCAAATTATAAATCTATATGTTGAGATAGATTTATATATAAAGATGCACAGAATATATCTGCCTGTGCTCACTTCTGTAACAGTGCTTAGCCAATTGAGAATGTGATGGTAGAGCTCCATACAAAGCTGTCTTTGCTTGTCACATTTTGGGAAAGTGAGCAGGACAGCAAGACTTGCAATTTCTTTCAAACTGTAGTGGCCTCTGAGAACAGCTGATTTCATGTGCTCTGGGTGTTTGGATTTCAGTTTATAGATAATTTCAGCTCTTGCTCTATTTTTTGGAAGGAAAATCTTCAGGTTATGCAATGTACTAGTCATGTTCTTTATTGTCAGTACTCAGAAAGGAAATGTGTCACCAGTCCCACTGGCTACTTACTGGCACTAAATTGCTAGCAAACAGTTGTATGAGCGCTCGGTTTCTGGCACTGATCTTTTTTAATATCTTTTTTTTCTTTAGAGAACAAACAAACACAGTTCTGACCTGCGCAAATGAATGTAGAAAAATAAGATGGCTTAAAGTTTAAGACCACCCGCTCTGTCAGTATTATCAGTTTCTGTAGTATAATACAAAATGAAAGTATTTTTGCATGATCAGACCAGGGAAGAATTGAGGGGTTGAAATTATCAATACTTAACCTAACCTTAGAGAATTCAATTTTCATCGATTTCTTTCAAATATTCATATGTTTCAGATAATCATCCTTCAGATATTCGTAGGTTAAAAATACATCATCTCTCACTCACATGTTTACAAAACTGTTTCCCAATATGATTTTTAGTTTCTAAATGGGTGATAATTCCAAGATAAGTCATATTAAAAGTCATCCTACACTTCATGTTTAGGGATTAGATTAAAGTTTGGGTAACAGTAATGGCACATTTAGACTTACCAAATTCCTCATAGGAACCACAGAGCTACTAAGAGCCATAAACTGTGACTTTGCCCATATGCCTGTAGGCATAGATTTATGTTATAGGTTTATATATTTGAATATTCCCTGTCAGATAAAAGAGCATTAATCAGTTAGGAACTGATAAATCTCTTGACTAATCCTCTGGGGACATCTCCCTCATACTGATCTGTTTTTGGATTAAATGAAACATGTTTACCTTAAATTCTATTCCATAACACCTTTAAAGTCTTAATTTCAAAGATTAGCAGGAAATTTTGGGAAACCAAAGGAAAAAAAAAGCAAAAACCAAACCAAAACTTGCAATATTCTTCTTAAGTCATAACACAAATTATTTCAGCACTTCTTCCTCTTGGAAAAAAAAAAAAAAAAAAGAACAAAAGGATACCTCTGAATACCTGGATTCTCTACCTTGTTGGTTTATTTTTAGGAATAAAATATTAACAGAAATTTAGGAATGATAAAATATTTAGAAAAAGTATCGTACCAGTAAGCAGACACTAGTAAAGGACATTAACAAATTAGAAAAATGAAGCTGATCATCTGAAGTGATGGGGACTCTTTTCTGCCTACTTGAAACTCAGTTTCTACTATGCAAATTTATAATTCTAATTCTCCATAAAGACTTACTGGGTGAAAAAATTCTTTGCTAAAGCCTTCATGTTTCCTTCTTTCCTATTCTCTCATATTATTTAATCAGCCTCTGATTATACTAATTCAAATAGAAATAAAAAGCTTACTATAAAACATCCAGAGAGTCCTTTAAGTGAACTGCGGTTAAAAAAATAGCATTGAGAATTCCTCTCAGTTCCAGAGCCTCATAAGATTTAGAAAAATTATTATTTTCTCTTTGTAAATCACTTTAACATTAGGGTATGTAACTTGAAAATTTCAACCCTAAAAAAGAAATTCTCAATAATAATAATAATCCAGTCCACTAACTTTTTCAGCAGATGTGCTGTTAGGGGCATTCTCTGTGCTTTGCTGGGTTTCAGCTGATGCCCTTGATTTTACCTGCTGCTGGAATATAGCTTTATCATATGAGGCTGCTGTGTTACAGTGCTGCTTCCTATCAGCATATTCCTGTCTCATTTCTTCAAGTACTGTCTACTGTTCATGCCATTTGCAATATGTGAATGAAAATAGAAACCAAGGCATGAAAGAAATTGATTATATAGATTAAGTTATAAAACTGTAACCTCTTTTAGTGTCCTACTTCAGACTTTACTATCCTCATATGTATTTTATCTTGTTACAGTGATATGCTGGATTTGTCTTTACCCCCAAAAAAGCCTTATCAAGTGGGAACCCTTAGGTTAACTAAGTAGTAGGATCACTTTTTCAGGCACAGCAAGTATTTTTCCATCCAGCTCTATCTTCACAAACTCAAGATGTCTTTGACAGATAAGGTTGTTAATTTCTTTGTCATTTTCAGTGTGGACTGTTTAGCATTTTGGTCTGAGGTATGACTTTTGTCAGCATAACTATATAGCTAAAAGCTGTATGGAAAATGCAGCTGAAAAGAGCAGATACAGTGTTCTGCTTCTCTTAAGGTAATGAACTGCTCTCCTATAAACACTTCACTGTCAATATATCTTCATCCTCAATTTAGAACAGAGTTGGAACAGTACAATTTCTATGTGGAGACATGGCCCAAAGGACTTTCATGGTTCTTTTTAAACACAGTTGGCTGTCCTGATTAATGTGGAATTATAAATCAGTTTGATAATGAATACATTTAATTTAAGTGTTTTCTGAGAAAACAAAGTATTTAAGCATTAAGTTAATCTAAGATTAAATGCTTTACTGCACAGGAATTTAGGTAAGTGCTGAATCAGAACCCAGTGAGTAAACGAATAGCTACATGGTTTTAAGAAGTCCTCTATTTAGATTACACATTCTCAAGCTCAAGAACAACTGATATTTCAGTACATTATTATTATATTATGATTATTATACTATTTTTTTTTACCAGAAAATATGTTAAATGTTACCATACATATAAAATAGAAGCTGTTTTAAAATGTTTACTATATTAATAATATATTATGCAATTCATAAAAAGAGTATGCTTGTTCTGGAAAAGCAATTGTCTAAAGACAGAAAGAAAACAATAAATATGAGAAGTAGTATATTTTAATCATAAAATCACTGTGAGGTGATGTGATGCTGAAGCAGAGTGTCATTAACATACATAATTTTATCTGCTCAGGCCTCAATTGAAGAATATTTGTGAAGGTTGCTTCTATTTTTTTCTTGTAATTTTTCCTTGCAAATGAATTTTTAGACAGTCTCCAAACACTGTCACTGTCAAATGAATCAAATATATTAGGACAAACTATATGAACATAATGAAAGGTCATTGTAAAAATTGAACAGTTGAGAGTAGTGAGAGACTTGCAATGTAAAAGAATTTTATTAAAAATATATACTCATAACCCAAAAATGTTCCACCAGAATATTTTCAGTGCTCTTCTGTTAAAATACAGGCTGGATCCACTGGGGATGTGCAACTTGTTTTGAGTCCAGCCATTAGGTCTGGAACATAACCAAGAGCTTGAACTTCCAAGTCCATAGCTCTGTGTCACTGCCATACTGCTGACTTAGTTTCTCACATTTATCCTCCAAGGCACCCAGATCCTCTGCTCTCAGCCCTGCCTTGCCATATGGGTTGTTTCCAAACCAGTGGTCCAAATGTTTCCTTGTGAGTGTCATTGCTGGGAATGTGGGAGTTTGCGTGTGATGAGGACTCTCTCCTGGGAACAACTTCAGGATACCCAGAAGTGATGGGTATCCTGATGGGATCTTGTACCACATCAGTATTCTCATCTAAATACATTACATCAAATAATTACTTAATTTAGGGTGCAGTATGGCAGTATAGCTATGATGTCACTGAAAGACACGTTCATGCTTCTCAGAACAGTTGCTTGTGTAAAGCTACGTTCACACAGCTATAAAGGTATTAGGAAAGTAAATCTTATTATTTGTGTAGAAACTGATGTTAACCTGATATAATCTGAGTAGACATAGCATTTTCCATGTGGATTTAGCTTTAGTTAATTGCCTACTGACTTAAGCTAAATCCTTAAATCTACTCATAACTTCCTATATATCAGGGTGTATTCTGTCTAATCATTATAGTTTTCTTTTCTGTAAAGTGACTTGTAAATTCAAGACTCCTTTTAGAAATTACTTGCATGTTCAAGAACCTCAGACTTTTTGTAAGACATTAAAACTTAAGCTTATCTGGAAAATTATATCAGTGATCTTAAAATGGCAAGAGTTTCTACCTGCATCATGCAGCATATAGCCCTAGATTAGAAAACAAGTCCAAAGTAAATATTAATTGAAGATAAACAATTAACAGTTCAGAGAGATCGAAGAGAGAACTCACACTTCTCTCCAGTTTAAACTTGCCCAGCTGCAGGTTAGGAGCAGTGATCACTTTGAGGTCACCTTCACACTTAGAAATTACTGAACTTCAGCATTTAAGCTATCTCAGGTCTCCAGACCTAAGTTCTCTGGAGAACGCTGAACTCTAAGCTAGCTACGATTTTTCCATGCCTGAGGAGTTCACGTCTCATTTAATAATGATCTCCAACCACGAAAGCCAGTGGTACAAGCTCTTGAACTGTCAGTTATCTGGTATTTGCATCTCTTACTGAGGGGAAGGAGCAGGGCGTGGAAGGGAGAGACAGCATGCAAAGTGAAACTAAAGTCAGAGAGAGAACTGCAAACTTGCACGCTGAAAAACCCAGCTGTTAAACTCTCCTATAATATGTGGACTGATAAAATGTTAGGAATGAGGATGTAGCTTCTGGCAGTGTCAATACACTGAGTAAGCAATGTAGGATTTGTAATTTTTTCCCTCCGTGTCGCCATTTCGTCTGTTCCCGCGCGAAAACTGAGCCTCATAGAGCCAAGGGGAAAGCGGTCGCCGCCTCCTCTCCCCTCCTCGCCGTGCTGGCCGCAGGTGTCCGCCCGGAGCCGATCTCGCACGGCAACAAAGCAAAATGTTAGCATGGCTTAAGACAGCTTCATGATCTTAATTTTCCTTCCCTGCCTCTTTCATCCATCTGATAATTTAATGTAACCAGGGAGATGGAATACTTTAATCTTCTACCTCCATTGGACACAGTGGCATCATTTCCAATTCCGAGACACAAAGATATTATCATCATCATCATATATTCTTGGCTAAACTTGCAAACCTCACCTTGTAATGTGAGTAACAAAAGGTTTAGCATTAATCCTAGCTTTCAAGAGGCAAGTATTTTCCATGAGGAAGGAAGATGATTTGAACAGAAAAGGATCTAAATATCTACATAAGAAACTCATAGAATGGCCTCTTTCTCTGTCTTGCTAGTGGAATGTAGCCAAATGTTTCAGGGCTTGCAGATGGACCTAGTGGCTTGACCACACCAGCCCTATACATATCTGCCTGTGAAATTTTGAGATTCTGTTCCAGGTTCTGGGACAGCTGGACAATTCTTCTCCAGTCAATATTCCTCTGCAGTGCACCACCTTGAAAATATTAACAACAAGCTACTTCCTTGTCAATAAAAAAGTGCTATCATGCAATAAAATGCAAGGTGAAGGTACAGAAGGCCCTTAATGTAGTTGAAAACAAAGACCAACCTGTATGTGAAACAGTGTGAAAAGTAGAGAACTGAATTTTTTAATAGATCAAAATGGAACAGTTGCGCCTCCAAAATCATGACATTAAAAAAAAAAAAAAAAAAAAGAAATAAGTGTCTCTTGTGCACATTGCACAGTCTTATCCCCAAACTCACTTACCCAGCAGGTCTGCCAGCAGGAATGAGATGACAGGGTAGACAACTCCTAGGTGTACCTAAGATTATGAACTCTTACTGTACTAAGGTTCTAACCTACAGCCAGCATCTCTCTCTTGTCCCACTGCAACGGTTCTTGTGGCTGCAGGTATTCTTTACCTTTCCTTTTATCTTCAGAAAGTTGATGTGTATCAGATACCCCAGGGTTAAAAAAAAAAAAAAAATTATAGAAAAAGCAGAGTTCAGCACTGAAGACAAGCCCTACGGAGATCTGACAAGCAATCTGTCTTGAGGGCGTAATTTCCAGATAGATCTGGTACAGAAACCACATTCCTGAAACTAATAGATGAAAGCATGGCAGCTGATACAGATTAAATTTGTGACTCGGGCAAATCTGGGTTTACCCAGATAGGATTAATGCTGCTACCAGTCAGAAGTGCAGTCCCTTAGTGCCAGCAGTAAGGGTTTGGGGATTGTCCATCTAAAATAACTACTTGCTGTACTGACTGCCATGAATACGCCATTGATTTCTTCATGTATTTGAAAAATGGCAAAACAAACATTCCCAATACAATCTCGGCTTTCATTTGCAGGAGGGCTGAGCTGGTTCAGGCAGATTATAGTAATTTGGCTGTTGACATTCTTCTGATGGACAAAATGCCTATTATAAATAGGTTTGCTGCTTCTCCTGCTCTGGTGGCCTCTCGCCAGAAGTATGGTCTGATCCTGGTTGTAAGAGTTGGCTCTGCAGATAGAGTGCTCCTATATGCAGTGCAGCTCCAAACATTAAGAGACAATTAATTAGATATACCTGTTACGGGTAATAAACATAATTTGCGCCATTCCTTGTATGGAATATATAATGTTAAATACTTGTTAGATTATACCTCCTTTGTACTAGCCTGCCCCCCTTTCTCCCCTCCGAGACCGGGTATATGTTGGAAACTAATTTACAAGTAAGAAGATATGGCTCGCCAGGAGATGGGCCATGTCTGGGAAGCTGCGGGAGACCCCAGGCACTGATCATCGCGTGAACTACCCGAGATGGATATCTTAGAAACCCCCAGGCAGATACATGTGAATACAGCGTTCCCGAATTCCCGTAAATTTCATCAAGGGATTCAACAAACTCCAGACACTGATTTGTTCTCCCTCATCACCAAAAAAGAAAACCTTATTAACATATGGACTCTGAATAGAAGAAAAGACTGATTGCTGAAATCTTGGCCTCAGGCAGAATTGTCCCTATAAAAACTGCTTGTGCCAGGATGGAAGTGTGTGGGCATGGAGGAAAACCTCTGCTAAGGCTGACTCCTTGTTGCACACCCAGGGCCGACCCCGGGCTCGGCTCTGTTCTTTCCTTGTAGCTGGCTAGATAAAATTTGATTGCAAAATAAATAATTTATTTTTCATATTAATTTGGCTGGACAAATTTTTATTTATAACATACCACTAAGGGAATTTTAGAAGGTTAAATATTCTCACAGCTGAGTGAAAGAGATGAGAGGCACGTGTCTGGTGAATTCAAAGTCTATGAAGCTTTTACATTCCATTTATCAGGGGGAAAGGGTATAAATGGTCCACAGGCTTGCAAGTGGCCTTGGCAATTAAAAAAAAAAAAACAAAAACAAAACCTTCAAAAAGTCATCCTCTATAAAGCAGATAATCTTGAAAGGAGCCTATAAGACAGATGGGAACAAACACTCTACCAGGGCCTGTCATAATAGGAAAAGGGGTCTTGGTTTTAAACTGAAGGAGGGTCAATTTAGATTAGATATGTGGAAGAAGTTATTTACAATGATGGTGGTAAAATATTGGAACAGGTTGCCTGGAAATGTGGCAGATGCCCCATTCCTGGAAACATTCAAGAGCTGGAGCTCTGAGCAACCTGACCTCACTGAAGATGTCCCATTTAGTTCAAAACCTCTGCCACTGCAGGGGGTTTGGACTAGATGCCCTTTAAAGGTCCCTACCAACCCAAACCATTCTTTGATCTCACAAATCAGATCATATTGCAGACATATAAATATTAGATTTAGCACAAGGAAGAAGAAAGGAATATGAGGCTGGGAAGGAGAAAAAGGAGAAATTAAGATTAACACTGCCCAAATTTAAATCAGCTCAAGGTACTGGGAACCCTACCTAGAATTTCAGCATATGCCATTAAAGACATGTATATGCTTTGAGATCAATGGAAAATGAACTGAAATTGTACATGCTTGTTAAGCTGATTTGTCTGCAATTCCAGTAGCTGTATCACACAAACCTCATTTGTTTCCCTGGGTCCCAGCACCCTTCAATGTGCACTTTACTCAAATTAGTGATCCATCACTAATGCATACTTTATTCAAAAACCCATGACATATTTAACTAGAAACAGTTTTCAGGTTCAAAACTTGTAGCAACAAGATTACATACAGTGACAAAAGGGTCAGAGAAATTCCATGTCTCTTCCTGACCCCTCTGCTTACCAGTGGGAATCAAGAATGGAGATTTCCATTTTTGATGGACAGATAGATTTCCATCTGTCTGGCCACAGTCTCAGGTGGGCTTGGACTAGCTGGATGTTCAGTCTGATTTCTCATGTTAACTCCTGTATTCCTGCAATTGAACAAGATTCTTAATTCAAAGTTCAAGTCTGATTGCTGCAGTGCTATTTAAACACAGGTTTATATACTTCACAGAATCAGACTTTATGTTGGTACCTTTTTTTGGCACTGCAGGAGTAGCATCACTCAGAGGAACCAACTTCTGATCACTCTGAATGCAGGCACATGACTGTTAGTTCTGCTGGGGTGATAAGCACATGTTAACCACTTGGGTGGATGTTTACTTAAAACCATCTGCTCAGCTAATCTGTGTAACTATCTGAAACAATTCCTGAGGTCAGTCTTTTAAACAAGGACATTGGACAGATGGTCAGCTTTACAAAGTGGGTGGAGCACCATAGGTTTGAGGAAGCAAATATCATTCCAATAGAAGCTTGAATTGCCCATTTTTCTTGAAGCTGTTGGCTTGATAAACCTGTTGCATCAGTTCCCAGCCAGTGCTCCTGGTAAGGTGACCATATTAATTCCTGCTGTTCATACAGTATAGAATCTGAGACCTAACATTAGGGTACACGCATTTGTACAATAGTTTCACTGCTCAGCTTCCAACTACCACCCCACAAACAGCAGCTGCTGCCCATTCAGCTGGATAAGTACAATTATTTGAGTGTGGACAGCTTTTGAAACCTTCTAGAGAACATCTAGACTTTTCTCCTTAGTTTGCAGTGATGACCATGACTGTGATCAGTTACTGTTCCTTATCTGCTGACTTCTTCAATTCATTAAAGATAAGAGAACCTCTGACTCGAAACCCTTCTGGGTGCTTTGTCAGGGTAAAGTCAAGCCAACAACCAGCCTACCTGTGTCTCATTTTCTGTATTTACAAAAGAAAGGGATAGCACATATCTTGCTTCTCAGTGTGCAACACATTGAGGAAATACACACATTTTTAGAAAACATCAATAAAAATATGGATTGTTCTC